GTCGTAACTGATTCTAGGAGGGCATGCAAGTGGCTACAGGTAACCAGGCCCCCCCTTCCACCTTACGGGGGCTGAAAGGCTACACCGCCATCTTCCCATATGGCCTTGAAACCTGCTCTCCACATCATCGAGGCTTCGGTCTCGTACAATCTGTTCAAAGCTTTTGCCTCGTCAGCATTCAGATGACTCCACTCCCCTGTCCTCTTCGAACCACTCTTGCCAGCCGACCGTTTCTGCACTCTGCTGTAAATCTTCACGTGTCTTGTAAAGCCAACCGCTATGTGCCTCAGTGCTCTCTTAGGCTGAAACCGGCTGCCACGGAACACCGCATTGCACCTCTCCAGCCACACTTGCTGTGCTGTAATTGAAATGATGGCTGCTTCCGGAAAACCTGACGACGTGCCACTCTTCTGGAACAACATGTCTCCGAGGGACTTCATTTCCCTGCCCGGGTTCATGCACTGTACCGCACCCTTCATTACCCTGACCACTGGCTGGATCGCCGGGCAGCTGAATAAACAGTGATCCTGCGACTCCACCCCTCCGCAGTACACACATTTCGCCCTCTCCCCCAGGAAAGGGAGCCTCTCCCCCACTTGCAGGTTGTTGCTGTGCAGCCTCAGCACCACCTCCCTCGCTCTGCATGGGGTTGCCAAAGAGTCCCGGACCGTGATGGCCTTCCCCCAATCGATTTCTTCCCTGTCACCTCCTCCCACCGCAACTGCTGCTTTGGCTGAGACAAAGAGGGTTTCATCGCCTTCCTCAGCTGCTTCAGCCCGGCTCGCTCCCCTTTTTCACAGATCGGAGTGTATAGCAGCCTTGTTCTCGGGGTTCCAAGCGGGCCGCGGACTCTCCCGTCAATGACCGCCATGGGCGTAGCTCGTAGGAAATTCACCGTCGTCACGTCAGCGTACCTCACCACCGATATGAAACCTTTTTTATCCACTTCCACCATCCTCCCGTACAACACGCCGTCTTCCACGTGTTCCAGCTGGTAGTAGAGGAACTTTCCCGGCCGGTAAGACGGTGAGCAAATAAGCGCCGTCTCCCTAAAAACCTCTTCCGCTGTCAATTGGTTGAGTAGCAAATCCCTCCACCTCTGGGGCGTTGCTTCCCATGCTTTGAGAGCCCACTTCCTCTGTTCCGCACCTCCCAGCTCCTGTTCCAGGACCTCCTCACTTTTGAGACTTCTGCTGCCATTTGCACCTTTGGCTATCAGGTCCCCCAGACGGACACCCTTCAAACAGTGCGAGCCCGCCTGGTTTCCGAAAGGCGAACCGCCCCTGAAGAATATCTTGCGGTTAAAAAGCAGCTGCTCCTCCTCCGCATCCCATCTGTGTATAGGGTCGCCCATGGTCACGATCTTCGATTCCCACAGCGCCTTCACTGCCGCCTTCCACCTCGTACCCCCGCCCAGCCAATGCTTCAGCACTGAGGGATGGGCGTAAATCGTGGCCAGCCCGAGTGGGAAGCCGGCCGCTCTCTCCCATAACCAGTTCCGCAGCGGCACCTGTTCCGTCAGAACTTTTCCCAAATTCTGTATCACAATGCTGTCAATCCGCTGCTTCTGATCAATCACTCCCAGACCCCCTTCTTTCCTTCCCCTGCACGACAGCTCGTAACTCCAAAAGGTGAAGTGTCGATCAAGAAGCGCTCTTCCACCCGAGATGAAGTTGTGACATAGCCGTTTCACCTTGGTCCAGATATCATGCGGCGGGGCGTAGATCTGTGCTTGGAACAGCAAGATCGGCATCGCGTAGCTGTTAATAATTGTGACTCTCGCCGACGTCTTGAGATGCTTTGATTCCCAACAGCTCAGCACCGCGCTGACCTTTTCAAATGCTTTGTCCCATGCAGGACCCGGCGACCCACCAGATGTTATCCAGATTCCGAGTAACCGCTCCGACTTGTCCTTGTCAGCCCACGTGAAAGGTGACGCTATCGGCTGCAGCCTCCTCCTATTCTTCCCCAGCGGCATCAGTGTCGTTTTGCTGCTGTTCACCCTCAGCCCCGAAATTTCCGCAAATTCGTCGAGCAGCTTTCCCGCTGTAACCACTTGCTCCTTCCCTCTCAGAACGAGAGTCGTATCATCAGCGTATCCGATGTAGGCTAGCTCCCCCTTCACCCCCCGTTTCCGAACTCCCAGATTTCTCCTCCCTATTTCCTGGCAGAGTGGCTCCACCGCGCAAAGGAAGAGATACGGGGCGAGCGGACAACCTTGTCGCACACCCTTGTCCATCGCCACACGATCTCCTACCCAACCGTTCAGCAGCATCTTGGTTGCTGCTCCGTCGTGCAGACCTCTTACCCAGCGCACATATTTCTCCGGGAAGCCCATGTCACCCAGCGTCTTGAACAGGTAATCTCTCGACACGGAATCGTAAGCTTTTTGAAAGTCCACCAGCAGCAGCAGCCAATCTTCATCCTCCTCCTCCGCAGCGTCAATTACATCTGCTGCCAGCGAGACCGCGTCAGCAAGGCTCCTCCCCGGAAGGAAGCCGAATTGCTTGTCCGAGATCACCCGCGGTAAGACGAGTTTGATCCTGTTCGCCATCACTTTCGCCAGTAACTTGTAGAAGAAGCTCAGCAAAGTGATCGGCCTATAATTGCCCAAATCACATCTGTCTCCTTTCTTGTGTAGCAGGATGGTGACCGCAGTTGTGAACGCCTCCGAGAGTACCCCGGTCGACTCGAAGCCCTTAACCTCCTTCATCACAGCCGGGCCGAGTAGCTCCCAGTGGTGCTCAAAAAATTCCTTCGGTAGGCCGTCTTGCCCCGGGGCTTTCCCCAATGGTAGACCCTTGAGCGCCGCTTTCACCTCCTCTTCCGACCATTCCGCTCCTAGTTGCAGTTGGTCCTTCTCCTGCAGCATTCTGCTTTCATCTATTGGCCACGGCTCCATGGTATGGTTTGGCGCTGACTCCGCATACGCTTCTCTGAAATGCTCTGAAGCCGCCTGCAACACCTCTTTCGCCCCTTTCCTTTGCACCCCCTTGAGTACTAACTCCAGAATCTCCGTCTTTGCCTTTCTCGATTTGACCAGCCCCGACAGAAAACCGGAGGGCGTCTCGCTCGCCAACTCCATCAGCAGCCCCGTCATGACCTGCAGCCGCTCCTTGTTACTGTCTTGATAGAGTTTGAGCGCTGCTTCAGCCTTGACCAGCTCCTCGTACAAGACTTGCGATTTCGCGTCAGCCATCACTTTCCACCGCAGCTCTTCCACCTTCTGCTCCAAATGTGCCAAGGTCGCTCTCACCCTCTTCCTCTCTTCTGCTACATGAGCCCGCATGCATGCTCGCAGGTTCATCACAAGTCTCTCCAGGCTTTGATCTGAGCTGCTCTCATGCGCCGCCACCGCCGCTGAGATGATGTTCTTGACCCCATCACCCCCGGGCCGAGACGTTTGGTGCCTCCACAAGCCAGGACCATGATCATCCGCTGCCGCCGCCTTGAGCGACACCTTCACCGCAAACCAGTGGTCAGTCAGACCGTAGGGTACCATACAATGCTTCGCCTCCGTTACACTTCCGAGCAGGGAGAGTGAAACTAATGCCCTGTCAATCCGTGTGCTCGTCCTTGCAGATCTGGAGAAAAAAGTAAATTCCTTGCGCGTCGGGTGAAGACTCCGGAATGCATCCTGCAGATCCCATCTCGAGCAAATCTGCAGAAGTTTCTGGTTCTCCGCCGGAGTCCCCAGCTTCAAGGACTTATCCAGCTCCGGATCTGCTACAACGTTCAGGTCTCCTATGAGGACTGTATGGGGGGAGGCGTCCAGGCTTTGTACGAAGGGGGATAGCTCATCCCGGAAGAAGATACCCCTAGCGGTTGCCTGCGCCGGTAGATACGCTGCCACTATTCTGCACTTCAGATCCCACCAGGATACCAGCAGGCTCAAGAGTCGACCAGATGCATGTTTGCTGACTTCTGTGAACCGCATCCCAGGCAGGAAGCCTAAGACCGCTACCCCTCCTGCTCTCTGCGATGGGCCAACCACCGCCTGAGCCTCTGATCTAATTTGCGTCCAGAAATTGTGATCGGCTGGAACACGCGTATCTGTGAGTACTACAATGCTCGCTGCTTTCCTGATCCATGCTGCACACCGTTCTTGTTTCCCACTGCTACCGAGCCCGTTGATGTTGAGCTCGAGAATAGTTAGGTTGTTGTGCTTATTCATTTGACCACTCCTTTGAGCCCCACAGCATCCACGGGCGATTGAGTTTTATTGCGACGATACAGCCAGCTACAGCGAAAGAGAGCATGGCACCGCATGCAAAATAGTGACCCCCGTCCCAACTTGAACGAGGAGTTGCAAGTGAAGATGAAACCAGTATCAAAAACACTGTTTCAAACGATTTGTATGGGCAGTGTGAACTCATGTTATTGGCTCTCGCCACAATGGAACGTAATGGTTCCCGCCAAAATGAACTTTCTTTCTCATTTCAGCCGTCGCATTTTTGCGTGCCGCATCCGCACGACAAACCACATGCGATGGTTTCCCATCGCAGGCCCAACCTCATTTTCAAGCTGGTGGTGGGTGCATTACTATATTTCTGTCACTCCATTCATCACTAGTTTCCGCATAGCATAGTAAGTAGTATAGCTGAAAGCACAGGCGTTCGTGTCATATCCACGTAATTACCGACGAGTGCGTCAATCGTCGACTTAGCAAGAGTGCGAAATGTAGGTTTACGCGGCCGTGCCAGTTTCCCGTCTCGCGCAATCATCAATTTGCTCATTGCTAGTGGGGTCCACCGTCGCCTCGCTCTCTAGTCCGTCCCGTCGCCTTTCCGTCGCCCTCGCAAACACACGCGTGACGGCCCTCCCGTCGTCGTCACGGTCTCCCCTCCCGGTCCGTTATTCTCCCGTTCACCCCTATTGTCCCCTCGCCCTCGCGATTTCCCTTCGATCCCGTCGCCTTCCCGTTCTCCCGCCCCTCGCCTTCGATGTCCCCTCTTCCTAGCCGTCGCCCTCACTATCTCCCTTCCCTCACGTTGCCTTCGATGTCCCCCTTTTCCTTCCGTCGCCCTCGGGATATCCCTTCCCCCTCCCGTCGCCTGTCCGCTCTCCCTCCCGTCGCCTTCGCGCTCTCTCTCCCGTCGCCTGTCCGCTCCTCCTCCCCTCGCCTTCGTGCTCTCTCTCCCGTCGCCTTTGCGCTCTCCCTCCCGTCGGCTTCGCGCCCTCCCTCCCGTCTCCTTCGCGCTCTCCCTCCCGTTGCCTATCCGCCCTCCCTCCCTTCGCCTACGCGCTCTCTCTCCCGTCGCCTGTCCGCTCCTCCTCCCCTCGCCCTCGTGCTCTCTCTCCCGTCGCCTTTGCGCTCTCCCTCCCGTCCGCTTCGCGCCCTCCCTCCCGTCTCCTTCGCGCTCTCCCTCCCATTGCCTGTCCGCCCTCCCTCCCTTCGCCTTCGCGCTCTCTCTCCCGTCGCATGTCCGCTCCCCCTCCCCTCGCCTTCGTGCTCTCCCTCCCGTTGCCTGTCCGCCCTCCCTCCCCCTGCCTTCGTGCTTTCCCTCCCGTCGCCTTCGCGCTCTCCCTCCCGTCGGCGCCCTCCCTCCCGTCTCCTTCGCGCTCTCCCTCCTGTTGCCTGTCCGCCCTCCCTACCTTCGCCTTCGCGCTCTCTCTCCCGTCGCCTATCCGCTCTCCCTCCCATCGCCTTAGCGCTCTCCCTCCCGTCGCCTTTCTCCTTCCCCACTTCATCTCCTATCGCTCACGTCCTCCCCTCCCATCGGCATCGCCCTCACGTTCCTCCCTCCCGTCACCATCGCGCTCACGTTGCTATCTCCCATCACGTTCCGCGCCGTCGCTATCGCCCCCCTTCACCCCGTCGCACTCGCTGCTTCTCCCCCCTCTCCCCATCGCGCGCTATCTCCCACGCGATCTCAAAGCGACCCCCCATTTGCAGTCGCCTACGCGATCTACTCCATTTTCCGTCGCCCGCGATCTCCCCCATTTTACGGTAAATCGCCCTCGCTATACCCCCTCCCTTACCGTTCTAATTCCCGTCGGCCCCTCTCTCTCCTCTCGAGTCACCTTGTCGTTCTTCTGTTTGCTACTTGCATCACTCTGTGTTGTTCGTTAGCTCAACATTGTGTGTATGCTGCGTGTGTGGTGGCAGGTTCCGTTGTGAAATTTGTGATGTGTTGTGCTCGATGCGGATTTGGATGGGTGGGAGAAGTGGAAATGTCATAGCAAGCTTGCGACAATTTTGTGCATGTTGCGACTGATCGTATCAGAAGTTGGAAACAACTTCAAATCGGTCTTGTTACTACTTCGGGACTTGCCCTGTTCGGAAAAAAACACCAACTTTCTGGAATTTTTCAGGAGCTTTCTAGTGGACCCAACTAGAAGGGGGGGGTCACTATTTTGCATGCGGGCTTTAACATCCATGTCGTAAGTCACCAACTCAAACACCCATCCCGTGTGTGGGTATGGGAATTCCCGCATAGCGCGAAAACACATGCTGCAGAGAAAAATGCATGAAGTCGGGCTGGTCGTAATGAAAAGAAACCCTGAACTTTGGGGGCCCACGAACTGACAGCCATTTCCACCCAAAGTTCACGGCTAAACACAGTTTTCACGAACGCCCACGAACTGACATGCCCGCGAACTGAACGCCTTCCCGAAAACTGTAAGCGATGTTCCTTTCCGAAACGACGAGCACGAAACAACAGCACGAACTGTTAAAACCTACGAAAGCAAGGGCAATTTTCACACCCGCGAAAAAACGAAATTACGCGCTTTTACGGACGCATGGGCGACGCATGGGCGAAATCATACCCGCGGAAATACGAGATCACCACTTGAAAAGAAACACACGGGCGATGTTCCACCCGCGTGGATTTGTCCTGACATATGGCTCAATTAGCACACGAAACTCATGGGCAATATCAGTTTCGGGTGTCCTGAGATGATGGGACGAAAGAGCGGAAAACGAAAACCCGTTTACTTCCCCAGCGACCACCTACACGATCTACGTCCGCGTCTAATGACCCGTTCAATAGTGCAAGATTCGGGTGGAACACAGCAGTGTTAAAAACCGGACACTAGGCATTTTCGTTAGGTATTTTCGCGCCTACGCCCCTTGTGAAACAGGCGCGAAACAATCAAGATTTACAGGGAAATCAGTCAAAATCTGCATTCTGAAACTTTCTAGTTTTGAAGTGCGGGTCTATGTGTGTGTGTCTCAAGCGGACAATCCCCGCACTTTTCGTTTAGCTATTGTTTTTGCGGGTAGTTTTCAGTTTTTTGTATTGTTTAAAGCCTTGTTTAAAATATATCCAGGTTTACGAAACTTGCGCAAAGCTGAGTGCTATAAGGGGGGGATTAGTAGTCTTGTGACTCGATTTGAACAACTTCTATTGAGTGCTTTAAGCACGAGACTAGGCCATTCGTGCAGGTGTGAAAATCGTGGTGTGATTTGCGCCCATGCATCGCGGATTGTAATCAAATTTGCTTTTCACGCCATAACAAGGGTGTCGTTTCAATATTTAAGTGCGGAGCCCTAGGGTTCGCGGTTTAGATTTAAGCGCGAAATTTAAGCGCGGGCAAGTGTGCATGTCGGCTCGGCGTTCGCGGATTGTACTGAAATCGTGGGGGGCTAATATTTTCCCCTTCAAACCCTTCGCAACTGTACTTTACAGCGCGAAAAACAAATACCCCTTTAACACCAGCGGGCACCCCGCGTGAATTCCACGAACAACGTTCGTGGCTAAAAACCCGTGAGAATATTCAGACGTCGGGCGGTTACAAGGTGTACAAGAACGAGCACTTCGGCATTCCTGGGGGCATTATTTTCGCGCCTGCGACCCTTGTGAAACATTGTCGCAATCGCGCGAAAACTCAAGCTGCTTAAGGAACTCAGCGTGCAGGTCGTAACTAAAAGAAACACGACATTTATGGAGTGGTAGTGTTGCCCTGCGTTTCCAGTGGTTTTAGCTAAGTTTCAGAGGGTGTGCTTTTGTAGTTGCGGCATTCCGTAGTAGAAAATCGCTCGTTGATACGTGGATAACGCGGTGAATAGGCGGTAACGCGGGTGTGAAAATCGGCCCTGCAATCGCGAATTGTTCGAAAACGAGGGTGCGAATTAGCCCCCGCGATCACGGAGTGTCTCAAATCACGAAGTGTGGAAAATTGTTTTCTAATCGTGCTTTTCAATTCGCACAGTCGTGGGCAGAAATCGCCTCGTGCATAGACGCCTGTGGGCAATACACGCGCGTTAAGGGACGGTTAAAAATCGTGAGTTTAATCGCACCTGATTCCACCCATTTTTCCAGAGCGAAAGTGTTGGCATCGAGTGAATATCATATTACTTGATTTTTCGTGCCCAAGCACCTGGCGTTGATATTTGTTTATGTAGCACGCGCGAAAAACCGGGAAAAAAAAATCAGCATTCACATGTCTGGACGACCGCGAAATACACACGCGCTCACGAACACAGGTGCGAGTCCTACTTTCGCGCCTAGAAACCCTTGAAACACAAACGTTTGGTGTTCCCGGACGCGAAATACCTCTCCGTAGAGTACTCGCCACTGCAATTCACTTAAGACTTGGCGTGAACTACCCTGCCCTGCATTCCCGGTCATGCCCGGACAGGCACCACACTGAATTTCAGTTGCAGTTACGATTTTTTTTCCTTTCTTTCGTAACGATTTTCCTGCCTGCCTGAACATCTGAGTTTCTCATACGCGAACGCAGGGAAATTACGAAAATCAGTTTCACGGGTAACCAGGCCCACGGCGAGCTGGTCCGATCCTGAAGTGTCCCAGTCAATTGAATGGGCACTTCCGAAGGATGAGGTTCCGGGTTCAAACCCCAGTGCCGGCGTGTTCCGCCAGCCCCCCAGAAGGGGGTTTTGCACTGCTCATCTGGGAGTGGATATGCCTTACCTCGATACCCAGCGAGGCGTGTAAACAAGTGGGTAGGCGGATTACGATCGACAGCCGGGGGTAACCCAAAGGGGGCCATTCCCCCCTCCTTTACCTTTACGGCGAGCTGGTCCATTCTCGGCCGAGCTGAGTCAGCCAGCTTCCACCAAGCTGCGTCACCCGGGTCGGTTGTGAGTTAGGGGGTGGTCCCCGCGGGCAGCTCCGGCTGGGCGTCCCGGTCAGGAGCCGAAGGGCCGGGCCTCGGTTCCCTCGCCAGGAGGGTCGGACGAGGTGGGCAGTGCCAGGTCAGTGCCACCCTCGCCTTCCTTCGCGTGACCCGGGTGACGACGGCGAGGGCATCGGCCCCCCTCGCGGCCTTTCCCTCGCGGGGAATGGGACACCCTCGGCCCGAATAGAGCACAGGCATCTTGTCGGGAATGAGTCCCATCCCCACCCCGATCCCAAATCCCCCTTGTGGTTGCACGGCAAAGCAGATACACCTGACCCTCGCCTTCTTCAATCCCTGCCAATTTTAACCCCTTTGTCGCCACCTGTTGTCCTGGGGCGTACGCGGTTCGGGCCAAGCAGCGTCACTCCAACGAACAAAACCAATTAAACCGCTTGAAATCGCTTCCGAAGCATTAGGAACCAATTAAACTTTCGTCAGAGTGTTGAAATTGGACGGAGCTTTTCTCGTTCCCACCAATTTCAACCCCAGGGAAAAACGACAAGGACGTGACTCGGGGGCCTCAGGTATTGAAATTAGCGCGAGACAGGTGTATTAGAACTGCCTGCTACAGTGGACTGGTCACACTGGGAGAAGGCACGGCCTGTGGTTCACCTAAAGGCTTCTCAGAGTTGGAGAGAGGGAGGAGGGCGTGGTACATCTTGTGAAAAACAGGGTCTGCTGTAATCTGTCTGTGAGGTCATTTGCAGGCTCGTAAGAGGTTTACGGTGTTACGTAACGCGCCTCGGCGTAAGAATTGCAGCATTCCTTGACTGGATGACCCCGCGGCGCGTTCGTGCAAAGCAAAAGAGCTAGTCCCTGAGTTTCTTGACATTTGTTTTGTGGTTCAGTGGGTTTTGGGAGGTACATTCGCGCTCGGTTTTATCACATTCGAAGGGTTACCCCCTTCGGGATCCAAAAATTGAACCCCTCTTGAATATGATGTACCACGCCCTGACTAGCAGGCAGGATTACTGTCTTTGGTGGTTTGAAAACGACCATATCGGGAGGTCAAGTTGCAAGCTCCCAAATGAGCACGGAAGCAACCAGTCGAACAACACTGTAAATTTGCAGGGCACACAGACAATTGCCATGATTTGACCATTCCAGGTAAGGTGCGACCGACTGTCTGACAGCTTACGCAGGCTTGTTTGGTGATGCCGAGGGTCTGTTAACGTGTGTTCTTGTTGGGTTCAGCGCGTGTCATATGGACTTCAATTTTGCTCAAAACCCTACTCAAACGCAAAGAACTAAAAATATGCCGCTCTGACATGCGCAACATCTCATTCCACCGCAAAGAATATGAACTTCTATGACACGCCCGTACTGTACGGAGAAATGAACCTTTCTGCCCCGTTCCGGCTGCCAGCCAAAACCGTGTCGCTGCATTACTGTACCGATATCCAAGAGATTCTTCTGCGTCTTTCTCAACTGAACAAGCTGGACCACTGCCGCGTATGAATTTCCAGATACAGTCGGTGCCCATTTCAAGAACACCAGGTAGGCGGGCGGCATGTGCGTGAAACGTGTTCGAGTCGTTTCGCCACGTTCGCCCTTGTCGCCACGGGCAAAAATGTGACAGTAATATGAAATTGCAACGTGAATCGATTTAAGGGCTTTAATTTCGTAACCAGGTTAACTTCTCTGATGACGGGCAACCGTTGTTGTTTATGTACTGTAGATGTTTTTCTTCCTCAACTTGGTGACTGTACCCCGAAATCGGCACAATGGTCAATCTAGTCACTCACGGGCAAAACGTTCGCGAGTGACTAATTTTCTAATTGTGAGGAGCAAATGTTTTGTGATAGGCTGAGCATCGACTGTACATGCTCTATCCGGGCTGAGGATGTTGTGTGATGTCCCCGCGAGGGAGGCTGATGCACTCGCTGTCGTGTCATAAAAAATGTGTGTCCAGTCACCTCAGGTCCAATGTTTCGAGCATTCACAAAGCATCTCCTGAGATGCGGTTGAGAACCGCCTTAGTGGCGCCTTGCTACTAGTAGCTGTGACATGTCCCTGGATACGGCGCAGAATGTTGAGCAGACATACGACTTTCTACGTGATTCAAATCCGTTATCTCCAGCTGTGGACGATCATGCAGAAAATCCTGGGATTTTCTCTTATCCGACTAACATGGATTATTTCCCGAGTCGGGAATCGAGCCAACCGACATCCCAGACCCGGCGTCGAAACGAAGGTAGTAATATTACGACGAACTACTCATTGAGTACTCGTTGTACCTTTTATAAAATGTTTAACGAGCCGCATTATTGTTCGATTTAGCCGCATTTGTATCTCCTTTTTTCCCCGCAATTTGGGCATGATAATTGCTGACACAACTTGGTTACTTTCGTTCTTTCAGACATCGGCTTGACGACTAGCACACCAATCAAGAAGATCTACCATCAACGGTCAAAATCGTGTCCTGGAGCTCCAATAAAGCTGGCGAGTCTCACCAGCCGTCGGATCAGCTTGTACTCTACAGTGAAACGAGACCTGATGAGAAAGTTCCAAGCAGCTGAATTCATCGGACCACCCATAACTACCGATTCATCATCCGAGTCGGGACTAACGGAGGAAATGCAGGGTCCTAATCAAGCTGACTTCTATGAAGCGTCTATAAAATCAGCTGAAAATCCGTAACTGCTGACACATCATCTCGAGGGTCTTTTGGGTCTTGAGGAACTAACGGAGGAGGTGCAACCCTGAGAGTCCTAAGGTCCATGAGGTTCCTGAGGGTCTTAAGGGTCTCAAGGGTCTTAAGGGCTTAAGGGTCATTGAGCAAGCTGACATCGGCCAAGATTCTTCCTGGATTGCCGTGGAACTTCTACGTCTTTAATCTCTTGGCTTCTGTGGCTAACAGAAGGCCTTCAGGGGCAGACGTTGTGTACGTCTCTTCTCACACAGGCTCCCTCTCTCACGTAACCCCCCTTCTCCCTTTCTCTCTTTTTTATCACTTAAAACCTTTCCCTCCTCTCACATAACCCCCTTCCCTCCTCTCACATGATCCCCTCTCTCTCCGCTCACATGACCCCCTCTCTCTCCGCTCACATGACCCTCTCTTCTCACATAACCCCTTTCCCGCTTCTTACATAACCCCCTTCCCTCCTCTCACATGACTCCCTTTCTCTCCTCTCACATGACCCTTACATGACCCCGTGATTCCTACATAATCTCCCGTTTATCCTCTCACATAAGCCTCCTCACTTCTCACATACCCACTTTCACTCCGCTCACTTAACCGTTCTTCAAATGATCTAGAAGGCAAAATGATGGGAAAAGGCGCTGTACATGTGGGTGGTTGACCCTGGACTGTTCAGTATTTATGTGCACTTGGGGTTTATCTGCCCATCTTTCCCTCTCGTGTATCTCTTTTTCTACATCATGCAAAACGTGTTCATACATCATGCAAGAAAGCAGCTCGAAAACAAGCCTAGGTGAAGGGATAGAAGTTGATGAAAAGCAATGAGCCAATGACTGCATATCCCAATGATGCACCGATCCATGCCCTTATCATAAACAACTCCCACCTTTGATCCGAATTACCAGATGACGGGTGGGCAGATTTAGAGTGCTTGGTATTTGCCGATACGAGATGGGCCAGGAACCAGTAGAGAGGAGGTGAGGAGGAGAGGAATCTAGTTGCTACCTGTAGCACACAGTGGAGGGAGTTGCAAAGTGGTGAAGAAGGGAGGGAGGGGAGGGGGAGGGTAAAGGGGGACGGGGGAGGGTAGAGTGAGAGTGCTTGGTTTTTGCCAATGTGAGGAGATAAGCCAGGCACCAGTAGAGGGAAGGTGAGGAGGAAAGAAACGAGTTGCCACCTGTAGCTCACAAGGAAGATATTTGCGGGGTGAGGGGGATGGGGGTTTGGATTGAGACTGCTTGGAATGTCCCGACGTGATGAGATGGGCCAGGAACCAGTAGAGAGGAGGTGAGGAGGAAAGAAACGAGTTGCCGCCTGTAGCTCACAAGGGAGGAAGTTGCGAGGTGGTGGGGAAGGGAGACAGGTTAAGAGGGAGAGAGAGGAGCGGAGGGGGATGTGGATTGGGGGGCACATATGCATTTACCACCATTGCTGTCGCTGCCATGAGCAGCACCTGCAGTAATCTATTGTTGAGGCAGCTAAGGGGAAATACATTCTTACTCATGTATCACTAGTGTTGCCACTGCTGTCATGAACAGAAGCTGCAGCAGGAATGGAAGAGCAGCAGCGGAATAGAACCCCTGCACCTCACCAATGGCCATACTAACTCTTTCGTACTTACCTGTACATGCATCACCAACGTTGCCACTGCTGTCATAAACAGCAGCTGCAGCAGGAACGGCAGAGCAGCAGCGGAAAAACCCCCTTTCCATGCATCCACTCCAGCGGTCATATTCTCTCCATTCTACTGACTTCTCACCTGTACATGCATCACCAGCGTTGCCACTGTTGTCATAAGCAGCAGCTGCAGCAGGAATGGCAGAGCAGCAGTGGAATAAAAACCCCTGTACCTCTGAGTCGACTCAAAAGTCAGCAGTGGAATAAAAACCCCTGTACCTCTGCATCCCCACCAATGACAATACATTCGTGACCCGTCTTGTGGAACATACGCGCTCTCACTCATAACTTGAAGTGCCTCACCTGTACATGCATGACTAGCGTTGCCACTGCTGTCATGAACAGCAGCCGCAATTTGCTCCTTTCTTTCCTTCTGAGGCATCTGGAACAAATACTCTCTCACCCACCTGCATGTGCATCACCAGCGTTGCCACTGCTGTCATGAACAGCAGCTGCAGCAATACATTCGTGACGCGTCTTGTAGAACATACGCTCTCACTCACAAGGGCCTCACCTGCACGTGCATCACCAGCGTTGCCACTGCTGTCATAAACAGCAGCTGCAGCAGGAATGGCAGAGCAGCAGCAGAATAGAACCCCCTGCATCCACACCAGCGGTCATATTCTCTCCATTCCACCTCCCCTTCTTCCTCTCCTTCCTCCTCCCTCTCCCGTGCTTGGGGGTGGTTGGCGGGTGGAAGGAAGAGGAGGTGGTGGTGGTCAGAAGGAGAGCAGAGGAGGCCGAGAGAGAGGAAGAGGAGCGGGCGGGTGAGTGCAAAAGAGAGGATGGAGGAGAGGGAGAGAAGGAGGGTGGGCGCTGCTAGAAGGAAGTTTGGGAGTTGTTTCAGCTGAAAGTAGCGAAGAAATCCCACGTCCCTGCATGGGGATGGGTGCACAGGAGAATATGGTGGAGAGGGAGAGGAGGAGGGTGGGCGCTGCTAGTAGGAAGTTTGGAAGCTGCTTTAGCTGAAAGTATCGGAGAAACCCCACATCCCTGCAAGGGGATGGGGGCAGACAGATAGGGAGAGTGAGGGAGTGGAGGGGGCGGGTGAGAGCAAAGGAGAGGATGGCGGAGAGGGAGAGGAGGAGGGTGGGTGCTGCTAGGAGAAAGTTTGGAAGCTGCTTTAGCTGAAAGTATCAGAGAAATCCCACATCCCTGCAAGGGGATGGGGGCAGACGGATAGGGAGAGTGAGGGAGTGGAGGGGGCGGGTGAGAGCAAAGGAGAGGATGGCGGAGAGGGAGAGGAGGAGGGTGGGTGCTGCTAGGAGAAAGTTTGGAAGCTGCTTTAGCTGAAAGTATCGGAGAAACCCCACGTCCCTGCATTGTGTTTGGGAGAGGTAGAAAGTATGGTGGTGGTTGGGATGGAACAAAGAGGAGGCGGTGGTGATCCAGGAGAGAGGAGAGGAGGGGCCGGGTGAGAGCGAAAGAGAGGATGGAGGAAAGGGAGAGGAGGAGGGTGGGTGCTGCTAGGAGGAAGTTTGGGAGCTGCTTCAGCTGGAAGTATTGGAGAAATGCCACATCCCTGTAGGGATATTGGGGGCAGACAGACAAGGAGAGGAGAAGGAGGGGGCGGGTGAGAGCGAAAGAGAGGATGGCGGAGAGGGAGAGGAGGAGGGTGGGTGATACAGGAGAAAGTTCGGGAGCTCCTTCAGCTGAAAGTATCGAAGAAATCTCACGTCCCTGCAGGGAGATGGGGGCAGGGGAGGAAGGAAACGGAATGAGGGGGAGGGGGAGCAGGATTTGGGAGGTTGCTGCTATGAAGTAAGTTGGGGAACAGTTAAAGGTGGGAGTAAGTGTGACTTTTGAGTCGACTCAAGAGTCACGGAAATGGGCAGGAGGGAGCGCAGGATTTGGGAGGCTGCTTCTATGAGGAAGTTGGGGAACAGCTACAGGTGGGAGTAACTGTGTCGAATTGGGGACAGGCGAATTGAGAAAATGAAGAGCAGAAGGTGTGCGGTTGGGTAGAATAACATCGTGCTAAAACTCCTTGCTGCTTGCTGCTTACTGCTTGCTTCTTGGATCTCTCACCAGTACTTGCGCTGCACGTAGCCATAGATGTAGGGAACCGAGTCGAGGCACCAGGGGGGGGACAACCTGAGGCTGTAACAAATGCTTCTCCGTCCCACAACCTCAAGCCTAGGGTGTTCCCTTCCCCTGCTTACCAGCACTTGCGCGGCACGTAGCCGTAGATGAGGAGGGATCTCCCTTCAACTTTCAAATTTGAGACTACTGAGAACGGAGGAGGGAACGTCTTGAGGGGTTTTGGTGCTAGCAGGGCAGCAGAAGGTGAGAGAAAGCAAATGTTGCACATAACCCCCTCACCAGTACTTGCGCGGCACGTAGCCGTAGATGAGGAGGGATCTCCCTTCAACTTTCAAATTTGAGACTACTGAGAACGGAGGAGGGAACGTCTTGAGGGGTTTTGGTGCTAGCAGGGAAGCAGAAGGTGAGAGAAAGCAAATGTTGCACATAACCCCCTCACCAGTACTTGCGCTGCACGTAGCCGTAGATGAGGAGGGATCTCCCTTCAACTTTCAAATTTGAGACTACTGAGAACGGAGGAGGGAACGTCTTGAGGGGTTTTGGTGCTAGCAGGGCAGCAGAAGGTGAGAGAAAGCAAATGTTGCACATAACCCCCTCACCAGTACTTGCGCTGCACATAGCCGTAGATGTAGGGAACAGAGTCCAAGCACCAGGGGGGAACGTCTTGGGACGTACTGGTAGCAGCAGCAGGGCGGCAGAACTGGGTGAAGGCGAAGAATTGGAAAGAAAGGAGGAGGGAGAAGGAGAGGAGGCAGCAGAGGGCGGTGGAGAGGAGGATGGGGAGGAGCCTGGGAGGGGGAATGGGGGGAAGAAGGGGCGGGGGGGAAGGGGGGAGGGCGGGGGGGCAGAAGCAACGGAAGAGAAAAGGGGCTTAGTTGGGTGAAGGCAAAGGCTTGGAAGGAGAGGAGGAGAGAGAAGGAGAAGAGGCAGCAGAGGGCGGTGGAGAGGAGGATGGGGAGGAGCCTGGGAGGGGGGAGAAGGGGAGGGAGGGGAGGGAAGGGAGGGGAGAGGGGGAGGGGGTAGGTGGAGGGGATGGGGACAGCAAGAAAAGGGAGAAACGGGAAGTAATTGGTTGAATGCGAACGCTAGGGAAAGGTGGAGGGAGAGGGAGAGGGGACGGCAGAAGGGTGTATTGAGGAGGATGGGGAGGAATTTGGTTAGGGAACGATGAGGGGAGAGGAAGGGGAAAGGAGGGAAAGGTGAGGGGGAGGGAGTGGGTTTGTGGGGGAATGGGGGGATGGTTGTGGGGGAGGAAGGGAGGGAATGGGCAAAAATGAAACACGACAAGCAGACTGATAAATATATATAGATAAAGATGAAAAGGGGAGAAAGGAAATATATAATAGAGTGCTTACTTTGAGCAGCACAGCTGCCACTTTCTTTCCACCAGTCTTCCTGCTGACACTCTTCTGTCTGCCTCGCTCCCTGCTGACTTGTGAGAGGTGTGCTGGTCTTCATTTCCGTGCGGCCTTACAGCACTGAACAGCCGCTGCAGCAGAAGGCATGGCAGCAGACGTATGGTGAGGGGACCTGCAGCCTGATGGGGGGTTGGAGGGGTGGAGTGGAAGGGAAGAGCGGAGCAGCACTTGTGAGATGAGGAGGGGTTGAGGGGTGAAGGGGTGGAGGGGTGGAGGGGTGGTGGAGAGGAAGAGCTGATCAGCTGCTTCAGTGGCCGATGAGAGTAGTCAGGTCAGGCCATATGTACCGGTCTTCATCCCTCTATGGCCTTGATGTTGCAGGGTGCTTTTGAGAATTCTCTACGGCCTTGTTGTTACACCCTGCAACATCGTGGCCGATGAGAGTAGTCAGGTCAGGCCATATGTACCGGTCTTCATCCCCCTATGGCTTTTCAGTCGACTCAAAAGTCATCTTGCTTCAGTGGCCGATGAGAGTCGTCAGGCCATATGTACCGGTCTTCATCCCCCTATGGCTTTTCAGTCGACTCAAAAGTCATCTTGCTTCAGTGGCCGATGAGAGTCGTCAGGCCATATGTACCGGTCTTCATCCCCCTATGGCTTTTCAGTCGACTCAAAAGTCATCTTGCTTCAGTGGCTGATGAGAGTCGTCAGGCCATATGTACCGGTCTTCATCCCCCTATGGCCTGACTAGTACTCTCAAGAGCCACGTCACATACCATGGTGAGTGTGGTTACCAACGTGTAACACCACGATATACCTGCAGTGAGGAGAAGAGGAAGAAGCCTGCATGTAAGGGGGAAGGATGAGAGAGGGAGTGAATACCTACAGTGAGGAGAAGAGGAAGAACCCTGCATGCAGGACACTTGAGTGAGCTGCTGGCGATGAGGAGAGAGTTACTATGTTACCAACATACATACCTGCAGTGAGGAGAAAAGGAAGAAGCCTGCATGCAGGACACTTGAGTGAGCTGCTGGCGATGAGGAGAGAGTTACTATGTTACCAACATACATACCTGCAGTGAGGAGAAAAGGAAGAAGCCTGCATGCAGGACACTTGAGTGAGCTGCTGGCGATGAGGAGAGAGTTACTATGTTACCAACATACATACCTGCAGTGAGGAGAAAAGGAAGAAGCCTGCATGCAGGACACTTGAGTGAGCTGCTGGCGATGAGGAGAGAGTTACTATGTTACCAACATACATACCTGCAGTGAGGAGAAAAGGAAGAAGCCTGCATGCAGCACGCCGTTTGAGCGAGCTGCTGCTGAGAGAGGGCGACTAGAAGGGAGTAACATACCATGTGTGTCCGCAACACCACGCTCAGTAATTACAACTAACATGTGCAATCCCACTGTAGCATGAAGCGACGAGAAGAGGAAGAAGCCGCATGCAGGACGCCGTTGGAGCGAGCTGCTGCTGAGAGGGCGACTAGGAGGGACTCACATCACGTAACATGTGCGTGTCAATTCAATAAGACCCGCTAGTAGGAGCACATACTTACCTGCAGTAGGGAGAAGAGGAAGAAGCCGGAGTGCAGGACGCCGTTTGAGCGAGCGGCTGCTGAGAGGGCGATGAGGAGGGGATTTCAGCTAAGGGCGTGTCACCTCGGAGCTGGAAGGCCCAAATCCGAACATGCATAACGAATTGACTGTACGAACAGTGTCCGAACACAAATTTGAACACCCTGGTGAATGTGACAGCTCGTCACCAGAGGTGACACCCTCTCTTTTCCAACACGCAGCCTGTTCGAACATGCGACGTCGCCTATAGAAGGACGACGCCGCTAAGCGTCGCAAGAAAAACTTTCAGTCGCCTGCCATTCCAGTTTGACCCATTTTTCGCCCATCCAGTCACAATGTCTCCTCGTATTCCTCTACTGCTGCTCACCTAGTTGTTACCCAGCTACACTGCCCTTTCCGATGCACTGCGACAGTTTCTGGTGAGAAGCGATTTTGCTAGCGACTATGCAAGGTGCTGTCCAATCAGAGGCGTCGTCCGTGCTGAGAGGGGGGCGCCTCTCATTCTGGGTTCGAACAGCGCTGTTCGAACGTGCAACACATTTGGCAGCATGCCTGATGTGACAGTGCTGTTCGAATTGGCGAAACTTCTGGTTAGCGACGTCGTTAGGGTGCCTACGAATCCTGGCGAAGCTTGTAACATTTCGCCTGTTCGAACGAGAGGCCTGTTCGAACCTGGAGGTGACACGCCCTAAGTAACCAAGTCAGAAACTGCATATCCACAAGGAACACTGTTACGTGATGTGAGGCGAAGAGGAAGAAGCTGGTGTGCAGCACTCCATTTGAACGAGCAGCTGCTGAGAGAGCGACCAGGAGGGATGCAGAAACCCATCGGCCAATCACAATGCGCCACATGGCAGCAAAGGAGAGCAGGGCGAAAAGGCTTTCAGAGTAGCTGTTGGGGGGGGGATAAGGGAAGGGTGTTGGGGTGAGGTTGGGTGGTGGGACCAGGAAAGGGGTTGGAAGGTGGGGGATGCGAGAGAGAGAGAAGGACGCATCGACACCCCTCTCCCTCTCACACACACATTCTCTCTGACTCTGCGGCCCCACCTCTCTTTCACCCACCCTCTTCAGATGCCCGTTCCCCATCACACACACTCACCCACACACACTCCCACACTCACTCCCACACTCACTCCCCCAATATCACATAGCAGGGTAGAATGTGGAGGAGGTGGGGTGAGGCAATCGTAAAGGGATGATGAGAGGAGACAACATAACCATGCACAGATGGCCAGTCCCCCTCCCACACACACAAACACCATCTCCCTCACTCACACACTGCCACACTCACTCTCACTCCTCCCTCACACACTCCCACGCTCACTGACATTGCAGAGTGGAAGGTGGAGGCGGGGTGAGGCAATAGAAAAGGGAGGAGAGGAGACCAGCATGCACAGATGCCCACTCTCCCTTACGCACTCCCTTGTGCAGTTTGTCTCGTCGTTTTATTAACCAAACGAGTTGATGGACGTAAGATCTCCGCAGCCCACCTGTCTTCTACTGACAGCTCCGAGACCGAGACCAGCATGCACAGATGCCCACTCTCCCCTACGCACTCCCCCACACACTCCCACACTCATTCTCCCACTCACTCCCCCACTCACTCACGCACATAGCAGAGTAGACGGGGGATGCAGGTGTGAGGCAGAAGAAGAGGGAGGAGAGGAGACAAGACAACCATGCACAGATACCCACTTTCCCACACACACTCCCACGCACACTCATTCCCCCACACAGACTCCCACACTCACGCACATGGCAGAGTAGAAGGTGGATGCGGGGTTGCAACAGAAGAAGAGGGCGGAGAGGAGACAACCAGGCATAGTATGCCCAATATCCGTCTTTCTCACGCACACAACCAGTCTCCCACACGCACATGGCAGAGTAGAAGGTGGATGCGGGGTTGCAACAGAAGAAGAGGGCGGAGAGGAGACAACCAGGCATAGTATGCCCAATATCCGTCTTTCTCACGCACACAACCAGTCTCCCACACGCACATGGCAGAGTAGAAGGTGGATGCGGGGTTGCAACAGAAGAAGAGGGCGGAGAGGAGACAACCAGGCATAGTATGCCCAATATCCGTCTTTCTCACGCACACAACCAGTCTCCCACACGCACATGGCAGAGTAGAAGGTGGATGCGGGGTTGCAACAGAAGAAGAGGGCGGAGAGGAGACAACCAGGCATAGTATGCCCAATATCCGTCTTTCTCACGCACACAACCAGTCTCCCACACGCACATGGCAGAGTAGAAGGTGGATGCGGGGTTGCAACAGAAGAAGAGGGCGGAGAGGAGACAACCAGGCATAGTATGCCCAATATCCGTCTTTCTCACGCACACAACCAGTCTCCCACACGCACATGGCAGAGTAGAAGGTGGATGCGGGGTTGAAACAGAAGAAGAGGGCGGAGAGGAGACAACCAGGCATAGTATGCCCAATATCCGTCTTTCTCACGCACACAACCAGTCTCCCACACGCACATGGCAGAGTAGAAGGTGGATGCGGGGTTGAAACAGAAGAAGAGGGCGGAGAGGAGACAACCAGGCATAGTATGCCCAATATCCGTCTTTCTCACGCACACAACCAGTCTCCCACACGCACATGGCAGAGTAGAAGGTGGATGCGGGGTTGAAACAGAAGAAGAGGGCGGAGAGGAGACAACCAGGCATAGTATGCCCAATATCCGTCTTTCTCACGCACACAACCAGTCTCCCACACGCACATGGCAGAGTAGAAGGTGGATGCGGGGTTGAAACAGAAGAAGAGGGCGGAGAGGAGACAACCAGGCATAGTATGCCCAATATCCGTCTTTCTCACGCACACAACCAGTCTCCCACACGCACATGGCAGAGTAGAAGGTGGATGCGGGGTTGCAACAGAAGAAGAGGGCGGAGAGGAGACAACCAGGCATAGTATGCCCAATATCCGTCTTTCTCACGCACACAACCAGTCTCCCACACGCACATAGCAGAATAGAAGGTGGATGCGGGGTTGAAACAGAAGAAGAGGGAGGGTGTTAGAATATAGCATTCGATGGTATGGTCGACCAGCGTTACTCCCCCACACTCACTCACATAGCAGAATAGAAGGTGGATGCGGGGTTGAAACAGAAGAAGAGGGAGGAGAGGAAGGCCAGGCGCGTGTCAGAAAGAACACACTCGGTCAGCCTGCAGTGATCAGACAGCACGTTCAAGGGAAGCACACTTGAAACACATTTGTAGGGGTTTCACAGGGCAGGACGTCCAAGAAGAGCACATTTGAAGGGGAGACGAGGGCGGAGAGCAGGGCCAGGCGCGCGTCAGAAAGAACACACACGGTCAGTCTGCAAGGAGCAAAGCAAACAGCACGTTTAAGCGGAGCACACTTGAAGCACATTTGAGGGGTGATTTGAAGGACAGAAGGTTAAAAAGGGAATCACTTCTTTCTGAGAATTCTTAAAAGCGATTTCCACTCTTTTCGCTCGCATCTTGTGAGAGATCACTTGAAGAGGCAGCAAGTGCTGCAACCAAAGAGATAAAGGAATGACTTATGAGGCGCCTCCAGAATCACCAGAAGAGTCGCAACGACTCACCTTACCCATATCTATTGAGTCGACTCAAAACGAGGTGACTTTTGAGTCGACTCAAGAGTCGCAAAGATTCACCTTACCCATCCGGACTTGGGAGTTACCTGAAAAGGCAGTATGCTGCAGCAATAAAGGTGGCATTGGAGAGCAGCAGTCCCACAAGGGCAAATGTGGCTGGAGCTGTAACAAGAGGACAGGCGGGCTGCAGAGGCCTTGAGAGCAATTCTCACCTGAAAAGGCAGTATGCTGCAGCAATAAAAGCGGCATTGGAGAGCAGCAGTCCCACAAGGGCAAATGTGGCTGGAGTTGTAACAAGAGGACAGGCGGGCTGCAGAGGCCTTGAGAGCAATTCTCACCTGAAGAGGCAGTATGCTGCAGCAATAAAGGTGGCATTGGCGAGCAGCAGTCCCACAAGGGCAAATGTGGCTGGAGTTGTAACAAGAGGACAGGCGGGCTGCAGAGGCCTTGAGAGCAATTCTCACCTGAAGAGGCAGTATGCTGCAGCAATAAAGGTGGCATTGGCGAGCAGCAGTCCCACAAGGGCAAATGTGGCTGGAGTTGTAACAAGAGGACAGGCGGGCTGCAGAGGCCTTGAGAGCAATTCTCACCTGAAGAGGCAGTATGCTGCAGCAATAAAGGTGGCATTGGCGAGCAGCAGTCCCACAAGGGCAAATGTGGCTGGAGCTCCGAGAATGGGGAGAAGCAAACGAACTGAGGGAACCGGGAGGGAGGAGGGAGGGGGTGGGTGGGTGGGTGGAGGGATAGAAGAGTCAAGAATAGGAGGACAGGAGAGGAGGAGAGGAGGGAAGGAGGGGCGGTAAGCTGCTGCAACAAAAGCGGTGCTGGAAAAAGGCGGTCCCACGAGGGCGAAGGTGGCTGGAGCCCTGAGAATGGGGAGTAGCAGACTGACTGAGGGAATTGAGAAGGGGGGGAAGGGGTTGGGGGGGGGGGGGGGAGGGGGTGGTCAGAAGGGAGCATGGATAGGAGGACAGGTGAGGAGGGAACGAAGGGTGGGGGAAGTATGCATAGGCGATAGTGAAAAGGGAGGGCATATGTATTGGGCACGGAGGGCGGAAGAGGAAGGGAGGTCTTACAGAGGGTGGGAGTGGCAAGGAGACGCATGAGTCAAGAGAAAGCCTCAAGGCAAGAGAGGGAAGAAGGCAAGGAGGTGATGAGGCAGGACGACTGATCAGGCAGAGCTGTTCTCAAAGGCAGGAGAGGAAAGGAGGTCTTACACGGATGGAGTGAGCGTGGCAGAGAGCAGGGCTTACAGGGGGTGGCAGTGGCGAGGAGTTGTATGAAGGAAGGCAGGAGCGGGAAAGAAGGCGAAAGGAGATAGTGAATGTGTAGTGGGGCAGGGAGGGCAAGAATGCGTAGGCCTTACAGGGGGTGGCAGTGGCGAGGAGTTGTATGAGCAAGGGCAGGAGCGGGAAAGAAGGCGAAAGGAGATAGCGAATGTGTAGTGGGGCAGGGAGGGCAAGAATGCGTAGGCCTTACAGGGGGTGGCAGTGGCGAGGAGTTGTATGAGCAAGGGCAGGAGCGGAAAAGAAGGCGAAAGGAGATAGCGAATGTGTAGTGGGGCAGGGAGGACAAGAATGCGTAGGCCTTACAGGGTGTGACAGTGGCAAGGAGCCTCATGAGCAAGGGCAGGAGCGGGAAAAAAGCGTAGGCCTGCTCGAACTCGTAACCGCAGAGCGCAATGCGGTGGAAAAATACCGAATCCCACACCACCACACTCTCTAATGCTTGCTGTACGGTGCTGTTATGACCTGATTAGGGGGGGCAGAGGGGCGAGGAGGAAAGGGGTTATCATAGGGAAAGGCAGGGTGGGGACAGAAGGGGTGGGCATGTTCAAACTCGTAGCCGCAGAGGGCAATGCGGTGGAAGAAGACCGAACCGAATCCCACACCACCACGCCCTCCAACGTTCGCTGTGTCATGCTGCTATGGTCTGGATTGGGTGTGTGGGGTGGGGTATGGGGTTTGGTTTGAGAGTTGGCGTGGGGGAGAGGGGGTGTCATGCGGCCACAGAGGGCATTGCGGTGGAAGAAGACCGAACCGAATCCCACACCACCAGAATGTTCTCCCCTGTACGATGCTGTTGCGGGCTGCCGGGGGATAAGAGGGATCGGGGTTTCGGGTTTCGGGTTTAGGCACGAAAAATGTCACGTACGTGAGTCGTGTCAAACCTGGTGTAAATGATAGCAGGGGTATGGCGGGCGAGGTGTTATTTACCTGGGTAGTCTTGAATTAGCGATGTGGAAAACAATTTAGGGGGGAGGTGGCGCCCGATCCACTCAGTCGCGCGAGAAAATCTGGTAACGAAGCCTATACGACCCGTAGCGACATTCGCGAGAGTTGATTCGTCAGATATTTCGTTACTGGCATGGGAGATTCCTAGGAGTGTCAGAGTGCGGTCTACTGCAGACGAATTTGCGGGGGATACGTGGCGCGGACGACACGGGGAATAGATGCGTGCTGACGTGTCGTAATCTTCTAGCATCGCGTCGAAGGCGAAGAACAGTATCAGCATAACTACTCGCGACGCCGCCGCTGTCGCGACCACAATGCCACCAGCTCGGCGACGATCTGCGACGCTGCTAGGCTTGCCTCGACCATCGCTACACTGGGTTCGATCCTGTCTCAAATCTACAGAGCTTGCATCCGGCATCAGTTCAGCGCCACGTGGCGAATCCACGTCCGTTGCAACACCAGCCCTACGACGAGGCCCCATCTTCTCGAAATAGGAGCCTTTAGATAACGAGTCCTAGTAAATTTCACGCCGAGGTGACATATTCCTCTACTAGGGTTGGCCACCACAATAACCTCGGTGACTCGTTCTAGTACTGATCATCACGATGCGGCATTCCGTCCGTACTAAACGTTCCTCGTGTGTGCTCGCAGATTACAACGCGATGCGATTAGCTTGAAAATGGCCACAAAAAACGCAGCAATGACAGCCAGAGCTGTTGCTCTTGATAAGTCTCTCTGTATGATACATCAGAGGCAAACTTTCGAAGTTAGCACGGTTCGTCACCTTGCAGAACGTTATAGTACGGTGACATTGTAGTATTTGTCTGTCATCATGGTTGGCTGCATCAGGTCATGTGCGTGCATCATCAACTTTGCAAGGTTCAATTGGGTGCACAATGGTTGAACGGGGTGAAGACAAAAACAACGTCCTCCAGTCCAGAATTTCTCACGGCACCGCACTAAAGATGCTTGAAATGAAGTTTTAGTCAGGAAAGCGTTTTTGCGAGGTGATTTGCGCGGCAGAGCGGTCTGTACATGCGTACGATTCGTTAGACTGACAGAATGTGAATCTCATCTTCATTCAACCACATTCCTGCCTCACTTCCACCCAAACGTGTTGGACGTCTGATTGTGGGACAAAACACAGGCGGATACTTATCAAGGATGGACACATAAAAGCAAGGAGTATGTACATACTACCACATTTGCCTAATTTAGCGTACTCTCAACACTACCTTATTCTGACTTATCCTCAAAGCCACACTGGAAAGGTCCGATCCTCACTCAGCTGGTGTCCTACTCTAGAAGACCTGCAAGCAAACCAGCAGCAAGCACTGGAGTCCAACTCCACAAATGCTAACAGCTTCGTTTACCCCTCATGCTTATCCAAAAAGGTATGCGCAAGCTCACAAATCTCCTACGTGAAAGCAGCTGGATCAGCTTCAATACGCATTCCATCAGACTGCTCCGAAGCGTGACACCTCTGCTCCAGCACCAGTGTCTACCGACACCATCTCCCCAATTTGTATCCGCCGGTAGTGCCTCAGCATCTAGATCCCACAGTTCCGAACTCCACAGCCTTCGCCTGTGGCTCCAGCCAGCTCCGCTCCCGTTGCACTCCCATCATGCATGCTGCAGTCTCGCTCAGGTTATTTGTACAAGAATTTGTAAGTCAGAGTATATCTTACAGATTTGCTGGTTTAATGTACCAACTCAAACCCTGATGGCTCTCCGCATCGACTGCCTCAGGCGCTCGTTCTCCGCCATCAGCGCAGCTATCTCCCCCTCGATCTCCGCGTTACTCCTCTCAACCGTCTCGCACCGCTGCTCTAACTCCGACACATAATTCTTCTTCCGCTCCCGCGCCTGCTGCGCACTCACGCGGTTCTGCAGCAGCCGCTTCACGCGCCTCTCATCCCGCTGCTGCTTCGCCGCAACCTTCCCTCCCTTAGCTTGCTGCCCGCCCGCAGGAGCGGCAATAGCGGGGATAACGGGAGCGGTAGCCGTAGGAACGAACACGTCCTCTTCAATCTTAAGGACAGGCGAAACCGGCAGGGCAGCGGCTGGAGCAGCAACGACCTCCGCTTCAGCTGAGAACTTCACGGCAGGAGATTTGTCAACAGCAGCAGCAGTAGCAGCGGGAGCAGGAGGAGCAGATCTACCCAGCGGACTCTTCGCCGCAGCCTTCCCCGCGCCGGCTTTTCCCGTCGCAGCAGGGGACGATGAGGGGACAGGCGAGGCGCACCGGGCAGGAGACGCGACGGCTTTGGGAGACGACGGGACTACGGCGGGGGAGAACGGCGGGAGAGGAGCGGCGGGAACGAACGGCGAAGAGGGAGCGGTGTTAGCTGAATCGGCGGTTTCGGGGTTGACGTGAGTCCAGGGCATCATGGAGGGTGAGGATAAAACAGGGTGGCCGTAGAAGGACGCGGAAGGCATAGCGGAAGATACGGCGGAGGGGAACTGCGAGGAGGCGTTGAGCGCGTGTCGTCGTCGCTTTCCGCGCGCTGAATCCGCGACAAGGCGACGCTGACGCGCGATAGCGGCAGGGTCGGTGGGCATTGCGCTGGTTCCAGGCATAGCACTGCACAGAATATAAGGAAGTGATTGTTAGTTTCCATTCACAGGTTGTGCGTTCCTCATTACGAAGTTCAGTTGTGCAATACTCGTAGAAACTTCTTATGGGCCAAACAAGAAAATAGATGACATCGTTCAGGGAAAGAAACGCGACGCGGACTTACTGTTGGGGAGGCATGAACGGCGAGGAGTAAGGAGCCATCCACGGGTTGTACGGGAACGGAGGGTACGGCATGCCGTAGTAAGGAACCGGCATGGTGGGCATTCCGGGGTAGTAGAGCGGCATGTGCGGCGGATACATCGGGTGGTTCATCGGATGATGCGCTGGGTACTCCATCTTAGGATGCGACGGAACGTCCTCAGTAGAATGCTCTGCGTTACAGAAACGAAAGAATACAAGAAGGGAATAAGCGAAAGAACTTCTGGGTGGCGAAACAGAGAAAGGGAGCTAGAATGCAAAACACGAGTGTACAGAGTCAGACCGCTATGTTTTCACTGCGTACCTGCAAGGCCGGCTCCTCTGAGCATTAAATTGTAACGAAGGTCCTGCTGATTCAGCGCATCCACGTCATCCATCCCGAACGACAGATTGAACTCCTCCGACGCGAAACCGTCCGGCGAGCTGAACGCGTCAGGCGATCCGAACGCTCCGTCTGCGACTGAGTCGGCGACGTCGTTCGTCGTCGTTGTCGTCGTAGCCGGCTTCGGAGCGCACGGGACCAGCTGCGGCTCGCACGAGCCTTCCGGAAACGACGCAGCGAGATTCACGGTACCAAACGGGTTCGAGTCGAACATGCCGAAATTGTCATGGCTGCCTCCCTCCCCAACGGACTCCTCGGGAACATCATCAGGCAGAAGCCTGTCCGCGTTAGGGAGCACTTTGTTATCCTTCTCAGCAATCCCCCCCATTTCGCCCATGTACGTCATTAATTGATCGAGCCCTCGGTCGAGGAGGTCTCCGGTCTGGCCGAAGGAGAACAAGGTGTCGTCTGCTGCGTCGAACGCGTCTGCGTACGGCCTCTTGGAGCCTGGCTTCTGATTTGACTCCATGGGGAAGCCGGAGCTCGGACAGAGAGAAATCTCTCCGGGAATCATCTTGCAGAATCACTTGTAAGTGAGCGGAGAGTGCAAGTTAGTACTCCAAAGTTGCAGCAGGAACCCTGTTATTCAGCTGGGGATAATGAGCTAGCTTCGGTAGCCAGCAGTTTCTGAAGCAACCTGGAGTGCTGACTTGGAAGGCAGGAAATGATACTTGAATCTTCTCGTAAACTGAAGTGAGGTAAATACTTGCGAAAATACTTGCTGGGACGGTGGAGCGGAAGACCGACTTTCTGCGGAAACAGCCGCGGTTTCCTCCCGTCCTGTCCCGTTTCGCTGGGGGTTGCGGAAAATGCAATTGCAATTGCAATGGCAGCGGGTGCGGGGGAGAAATGGCCGCTGCTGAATCTGCGGCCAAATGCAGGTCTGAGGTGACAAGGACGACGCGGTTCCGCCACCTCAGCTGCACTCACTTCGCCTCACTGTTCCGGATACAAGAGCCCGTACCAACCAAGGCACACCTGGCTGTGCTTGGCTTGGGATAATTTCCAGTTTTGGGGAGTGGTCCAAACACAGAACCCACGGTTGGGAAGGATTCAAAACGTTTCAGATTGGTGTAGCGGGATTTGCTGGTAAGGGTTGCATGATTTTTGGGGGTGTGGGAAGATCTTTGGGTGAGGGCGGTGGATTTGCTTGCGGGGATCGTTTTTGGAGAGCAGCGTGCGGCGGAGTCGAGGTCTCTGGGAGCTTCGGTTCGGCATTGGAGGGTCAGCCTCAGGTGTAGGTTCGGTGGAAACGCACATGGGTTAGTTCGTTGAGGGGACTGAGGCGCGAGGGGGCAGGCGTGAGGGAAAGCGGGAGGGGTGGACCAGAATTTGTTCCAGTATTGAAAAGGGGGCGAATTTGTTGCCTTTGCGAAACTTGTGACAGACTGGCCACAGGTGGCCTCCTGTCAGAATTGATTCGCCTCGTGTGCACAGGCAGGCTGGCGGGCGAGTTCGCGAACACGAAAACGTCGGGAGCGTCCTTTCGCCGTGTCCGCCAACCAGTACGAATGAAGGGGGTCAAGCAGGAAGAATTCTGACCACGAAATGAGCCCAAGTCCCTCGCTTACGTACGTCACGCACCTTCGACGAAAGATTCACCTCGCTTCAGGGTGAAGAAACGATCACCCAGATCTTCTATCCTTGATTGGCAAGAGGGTGTCATCAACGACTTTTCGAGTGTGAGCATCGCTCCTCATTGGCAGAGCCATTCGAACCTTGGATCTAGAACTTGAAGCCACCTGGCGCTGAGTTGGAAGATGTCAAGGACAGTGGCGCGGCAAGATTTCCTCAAGAGAGAACCAAATGATTCGTTAAATGCCCACTGGTGATGAGTGAATCTAACCACATTCTGCAGCGTGAATCTTCGATAGCACTGAAACGGCACAGTTGCCGGGATAATCAAATCCTTCACTGCATCCTCTCGTCCTCGAAGTACTGTACTGTAATTCAGTTTCAATGGACTCGTCTATACAGTACAGTAGTAGGCGTGAACGTGTAGCAATTCACGTTCATCCGGGTACGCATATTCAATACAAGAATGTGCTTGTTGGTCATGACAATATCCATGACCATGACCCACTCAACTTCCAACCATCTTTGTTCCAGTTTTTTGTTAAGGGTCAGATAAACGAATAAATTGAAAAGCCTCAGGCAAGGGTAGAAACTTTATTCTCTAATCTACCACTTCAAGTAATAAACCTTAGCTCTGCCTCCTTTACCTACCCTACGGTACTACCAGCCCTAACGCAACTACTGCTTATCGCAGGTCAGTTGTCAGACACCTAAGCAGTTCAAATCAAACTAAAAAGAGCAGACACACAGCGGACAGAAGCACACCGGAGCACCCGCAGCAGCCCACCAAAGCAAATCGAGCGGAAATAGCGCCAAACGTTGAAATGCAGCGCCCACAGCGCACGCAGAGCAGCGCAACAGTGTCAGCCATACTGCACGGTGGCTCATAGTATCGCCTCCCATCCGCCTGTTTTGGGCCGACTCAAAGCACCAGCAGCAGCCCACCGAAGCAAATCGAGCGGAAATAGCCCCCACAACCCACGCAGAACAGCGCAACAGCGTCAGCCACACTAAGGTGATTCCAGGTATGGCATCAGCCATACCATGGTGGCTCCTGAAATTGCCCTTCAATTCGCCTGAAGCAGTCAGTACGGAACTTGCTGAGTGCACAGAGCATGGCTTTAAGTGGACCATTCCAGTGGAATCAGAGGAGCAGACGGGGCATGCTGTGCTGCTTGCATGTGAAACAACATACACTCCGGGTGAACCTCTTGAAGGGTTCAGCAGCATGCTTATAACGAGGCTGCAGTGTAGCTGTACCCGTTACAAGCACTGATTGTCCAGGAAGGGAGCGAAGTTCCATGTCAACTTCGGTAACGCTGGAATGAACCAACGGCTTCACAAAAACTCTTGTGAACTCGGTGGTGCTGTTGGGACGGTTATGCATTAATGATCAGCCCACAGACGTGATGAGCCAACGGCTGTGATCAGCCCACTGACATGATGAGCCAACGGTGGGTGATCAGCTTATGGCTGTGTTCCTTCCTGCTGCAACTGCTGCTGCTGCTGCTGCTGTACCTGCACCAGCCAACACTGCACCTGCTGACTCATTAGAATCACAGCAGCCCCACCTGCAACCCTCCTTAAGAGTCACAAGAACCCGTCCTGCTGTACCTGCTGCTGCACCTCCCTCTGCACCTGCGGACCCCTCCTTAAAGTCACAGAAGCCCCACCTGCTGTACCTGCACCTGCCACCAATTCGCCTGGATACTGCACTTAGATGCTGCACCCCTCCTGCTGCAACTGCTGCTGCTCTGCTGCTGCTGCTGCACCTGCACCTGCACCTGCCATCCCTGCACCTGCATGCTGCAACTGCATGTGCCACCACCTGCTATACCTGCCCCTGCCACCAATTCACCTGAATGCTACACTTAGTTGCTGCACCTGCTGTCTCCTCCTTAGAGTCACACGAGGCACATGCAACGGCAGTGAAAGCTGCAGCACCTGCAACTGGCATGAGCAGCAGCAGCAGCAATGAGCTCAGCACTTGTCCGCCATACATGACCTCTCCAGCGACCCACTGCTCCCGCCTCTCGACCAACTCTCACTGCAGTCCAACTCACTCGCCACAGCCCTGAACACAGCCTCCCCTGCTGGCACTACGGGCAGCAGCAGCATCGGCACCACACCACCAGTGGGCTCAGCACTTGTCCGCCATACACAGCCCCTCTAGAGACGCACTGCTGCCGCCTCTAGACCCACTCTCACTGCAGTCCGACTCACTCGCCACAGCCCTGAACACCGTCCCACCTTCAAGTACCACCACCACCGCCAGCAGCAGCAGAAGCAGCACCGCCACCACCACCACCACACTACCAGTGGGCTCAGCACTTGTCCGCCATACACAACCCCTCCAGCGACCCACTGCTGCCCCGTCTAGACCCACTCTCACTGCAGTCCGACTCACTCGCCACAGCCCTGAACACCGCCGCACCCGCTGAGGCAGCAGCAACAGGAGCAGCAACTCCAGCACCAGCAGCTTCAGAAACAACAGAAGCGACTGCAGGAGCAGCGGCGGCAGCACCAACAGCAGCAACAGCAGCGGCGGCAGTATCAGCAGCAGTGGCACTGACGGCAGCAGAAGCAGCAGCGGCATTGAGGGTAGAGCGGTTGTATTTGAGATGCGCCTGCACGAGATGACCAGAGGCGAGGGCGGAGCAGAGGGAGAGTTCCCCCGCCAGCACTGCTGCCGCCACCACCCGCGCCAGCTGCTGCGCGTTCAGCCCTGGCTCTGTCTTGTGCGCGCCCTTCACTCCCAGCAGGGCCAGCGCTGCTGCCTGTGGGAGCGTGGGGAAGCGTGGGGGAGCGGAGGGGGGACGAGAAAGGGTTTAGGACACTGCTGAGCCTGCTGCTGCGCGTTCAGCCCTGGCTCTGTCTTGTGCGCGCCCTTCACGCCCAGCAAGGCCAGCGCTGCTGCCTGGAGGAGTGAGCGGGAGCGGAGGGGAGAAGAGAAGGGGTTAAAGGCACTGCTGCCGCCACCACGCGCGCCAGCTGCTGCGCGTTCAGCCCCGGCTCTGTCTTGTGAGCGCCCTTTACTCCCAGCAGGGCCAGCGCTGCTGCCTGTGGGAGAGGGAAGCGGAGGAAGAGGGACGGACGGGGTTTGGGAGGGAGAGGCAGCAGGATGAGCATTGAAAGAATAGAGACGAAGGGGGGGAGACGGGGAGTAGGAAGGAGGGGCGGA